TTTAATCCATTATTCAGAAATTTAACGTACCTCCAGGCTTTCGATTCTCCTCACAGCGGTTGCTCAGCTTGTTGTCATTATCCATTCTAGTCCTGCTCTAATGATATCCCAGTGTAATATTCTGCAAAAAGGATTGTTAATACAGTGACCATACGATATAATCGTAATTTATTTATCAACTTATTTATATATCCATTTATTTACGTTTTTATTCAACTCCCTCATTATTCATCATTTCTTTAGTTCTTTAAGAATTAACCAATTTATTAGTTATTAATATACATTTTATTTTCTCAATTTATCTTTTATTGATCAATTGTTTTTGTTTATTTCAAATTATTGGGTTTACTCTTATTGAATTATCAAGTGAACAAACATATCTTAAACAGATCAATATGCCAAAATTATAATAATTCTTTACTTACCGTCTCAGTGATGCACAGCCCCTGGAAATGGGCTCCTGTTGAGCCGCAGATATAGGAAATTCAAAGTAAAAACTTTGAAAAGTTTTGGTCAGTCCCCGAAAATGGACAGAGTGAAGTTTTGAAATCTTTAACCGGAAAGCCGCAAGAACAGTTCGCGCTCGACAATGGATGACTTTGGCAAGACAACTACCAAACCCTCCGAAAATGGGCGAACGCACAGTCAACACCAAGGTGACTTTGCTTCCAGCGCTTTTTCATTGGCAGATTGGAAAGTCATTGAAACAATCCAGTTCACGATTCGAGCAAATGCCCCGAAATTGGCAATTCAAGCCTCCGAAAATAGGCCAACATAAAGCTCCTGCAGTTGAAATTGCGTTAGTAGGATTTAAAACTAGTTTCTTAATAGAGAAAAGACACCGAGACGCTCGTATTTTAATTCAATTTTTGGGACAAATTTACACAGGGCGCCCTGAAAAATAAATCATATACATTTGTGTATCCCAAAAATAAAGAAAAGAACACGGAGAATCGGGTTAGGCATTTTATTTTCTTATACCATATTATATCAATAAATTTACTTAGATTTTTCGAAATTACTCCACAGAACCGAGCAGAAGGGGACGCGCACCCTGGACGAAAAATTTGGCGTCCACAAAACTCCGAACGTTCCGTGTCAGTAATGTCGACATCCCAATAATTTTAACACCCATAGTGTCCCGGACGGTACTTTCATTTTCATATCAACTTGCTAACAACTTTCTGTCGCTTCCCATTGCCTTTGTATTCCGAACTGAAAATTCGAACAAGTTCCGAAAGGCCGAACGAACAGCCGAAGTGAAATTCGAACCGAAAGTGAAGCCGAACTCCGAAAGCAACATGACCTCAATTTTTATTAATACATGCGTAATCTTTTTTGTAAAAGGCCAATTCTCAATTCTAATTTGCTGTCATGGCTGAATTTCTTAAATCCGATTTCCATTAATGACGTTAAAATCTAGTTGAACCTTCGAGCCAACCTTTTTTTTATGTTAATAGTCATACTCGATCACAGTGTTTAAGATCCCTTCAATCAGGTGAAACTGAAAATTCAATTGGCCACAGTCGAAGTAACTATGGGGGAAGACGTGCGCTTAAGTCAATGAGTAGCTGATTAACACCGAAAGACCTGTTGAGGAAGAGCCGAAGTTTAAACGAAGCCGATATTGTGACAAACCGAAGAAGCGACAAAGAAGAAACGATCCAAACCGAAGATATGTCGAGCAGTATTCGATTGAATGAAAAATTTGAAAAAATTGGTGGGAAAACCTAGTCCAACCTCAAGGGAACCTGCTAACTAAGCTGGCTAAAGTTTTTACTGTAACTACTTTGAGCCGAATCAGAAGTACGACAACTTCTAGTAGAATTTGGATTTTATGGTTTAACCAACCCACAAAGAATCTTACTAACCGGCCGGACATCAGCGTCTTCTAACTGATCTGTTCCCAGTATGCAACAGAGAGGAAGAGAAGAAAAAACCCAATGGAGCGTTGGCCCTTTTTTTCACCACGCTTTCCCATCCATATGCGAGTTATGCTGGTAACGAGAGTCAGCACTTGTCTTGAGATGATGGCTGGGACCAGCTGGAAGGAATGGCGCGGGCTGGACCGGACCGTACTGGACTACATGGAACTGGACGCTGAGTTTTTGACTAAATGCACAATGAACTGGACTTCACAGAAATGCAGTGACTGGAATGGACTGAGTGGTGTTTGGACTGGAGTGTCGTATTAGCCTAAATGAGAAAGATATTGTGGATATTGCTACTGAGGGAATATAAAATAATTGGCATGCTATCGCATTCCATTTCGTGAGATGTTTGATTATACATGGGACCAGGGAGAGTAAGATTTTTGGGGTAGGTGGAGGTTTCGTTCGATTCTCGTATTTCATGTACGTGACATGTTGTCGTCTCGCCTTATTTTAGACATTTATACCTTGTTTTAGATGGTTTTAGATAGTTTGCGAGTGGCTGTAGATGTTTTTGAGGTGGTTGTTAATGGTTGTAGGTGGTTTTTTAGGTCGTTCCATGTTTTAGTACTTAAGCAATATTCGAAACTAATGCCTCTATAAACAAGCTTTAGGCCCCGTCCACACGTATCCGGATAAATTTGAAAACGGATAGATATTTATACGGTACGGGTTCCGTCTACACGTAAACGGCGTTTTCACACACCGAAAACGGATAAATTTGAAAACGCTCTCCAGAGTGGATAAATTTGAAAACGCTGGCTAAGCGTCTCCATGTGGACGCCTCATCCGGATAAATTTGAAAACGATTTGAAATAGATGACGTAACAAGAAAATGAAAGTAAAATAAAATTTGAATTTCTCGTCATTCTGGCACCATCACTATTGATTTTGATTTTATCAGTGATGGGGTCAAAGTCACTGTTTTGTTTCAGGAAATCAGAGATATGTATTTTAAACACGGTTTCAACAATAGTTACTTTGGCCCCTTCAAACTTAGCATTTAGTGGTTCAATTTTGCACATTTTGTTCAGTTCATCACGGCATTGTTTGACGTTTACGTGTGGACACCAAAAACGATTCACAAACGGCAACGTGTGGACGCGGATAAATTTGGAAACGGATAAATATTTATCCTTTTTCAAATTTATCCGGATACGTGTGGACGGGGCCTTAGATATACTCACTATCAAAATTAATATGCATTATTTAAGACACTGAGTTTCGCTTCAAACTTGTAACCAATTAAAATTTAAGAGCACGCACCACGCTCTCGCCACATTGTTGACGCGGAATCTCAGCAAAGAAGATAAAAGATTAGAAATGGTCCTCCGCGAGACAACAGTTTCAAAGAAGAATTTCAAGGAAGCTGATTTTGCGAAAGAAAAATACGCAATGTAATTTCTACTGCCAAGTAACTGACAGCTTCTGGGCAGAAATACGTGCGACTGAAAATAATTGAAGGATTTATTAAAACGAAGCTTCGACCCAGAACCCCTCTTGAATTTGTAAATAAATAGTTTTACTTATTTGTATAAGCGTCGATAAACACTTACCTGCTTCCGTCCGTTGCCAGAAATGATACGTGATGTTAAGTTTGACAAAATGAGAAACGAAAGAGGGCTTCCAAAGGAGAAAACGCTGTGTAAGGTAGTCACTGAGGTAGAAATTCTCTGAGCTTGTGATAATTTCAAAAAGTGCGCCGTTTAAAACTTAGGAGTGGCCCGTCTAACTGCACGGGTTTTTAGCACGCACGATTTTTCTAATTAGCACCCTTCATTAGAGGTACGTTTTGTTATGGTAAACGCAAACGGCAAATTAATATGTGGGTTATCCCATGTTTTCTTCCAAGACATAATACAGAAGGGCCTCCCAACGAGTACAAAAGTTTTTCGAAAAATGCAGAAGCTGATAGGGAAGTAACAAAACTTCAATTTTTGTCGTAGTCGTTCGTCGTGGGTTATTGAGCTCTTCCCTGAGTGGCCCGTCTAACTGCACGGGTTTTTTGCACGCACGATTTTTCTAATTAGCACCATTCATTAGAGGCACATTTTGTTGTGGTAAAACGCAAACGGCAAATTACCATCTGGGTTCTCTCATTTTTCTTCCAAAGCAAAATACAGAAGAGTCTTGCAATGAGTACAAACGTTTTGCACAAAATGTAGAAACTGAAAAGGAAGTAACAAAACTTCAATTTTTGTCGTAGTCGTTCGCATTAAAACGATCCCTCAATCAAAATAGCAAAATGTGATGTGAAATAAGCCATAATTATTATTTTTCACGGGCTTTAAGTAATTTTCTTTTTTTCTGTTTGGTCACGGCTGAAATGATAATAAAATGATCGACAAAACTTGTCAGAAAAATTAAACCTTGTGCTCGGTCTTCCCTTTTTCTGCTACATTAGGGACCTTTAGCAGTCAGGACGGCAACGCCAAGGAAGACGTCGATTTAAAGATGAATGTTTTTAGTTGGAATCTCGCAAACTACGGAATGTGTTTATTACCTCTTATGGCGCCACAAGTTAATCTCAGTATAACGTATGAGAGCGGCGTGGGGCACTAAATGGAAACTTAAATAGTTTGCCGTCGGGTTCCCGGTTTGAGACCACGCAAATTTTGATGATTTTAAGTTGTTATTTTCCAGAGGACGGTTACGAAATGTACACAGTTTTAGTACGCATGTGCTGAGCTATTTTTCTACTCATTGGATCTTTTGCTTTGCCTCACCCTTGTTTCCGTCGCCGTCGTGGTTTGCTAAAGGTCCCTATTGTAAAGAGAATGGGTACCTGGGCTACAGAAAATATAACTACGAATGATAATATTCGATATCATTTAACAGTTGTTTATTTTTCCTTTTGCCAGAGAATTACTGCCCCAAAGTTTCTTTTTCCAGAATTTTCATACTTCTGAGAACAAGTCATGCAGTAATGTCCATAATAATTCCCCATACATGACGTACCGCTGACAAGGAGCCGAAATGACCCTGGGCTCGAGATTGTATTTATGCCGGATGTCAGTGGTATTCCGTGAAGTGAATGCGCTGAGATGTGAGCCGTGATTCTGCTTTCAAATTATGCTATTCTTCTGGAACATGCGTGTGTAAGGGCGCCTGTCTTAGTGTTGAATCCTGCTTCATCTTTTTCGCAGAAACATGACAACAGGAACGGAGAAGCCCAGCACAAGGGTTATTCAGGTGACGAATATCGCTCAGAACGCAACCGTTGATCAAATGAAAACACTGTTTGGTTTTCTTGGTGAAATCGAGGAGATGCATCTGTTCCCTGAGTGAGTTTAAATTGATAATCCCCACAGACGTTTCCATTAATTAGTAATTGAATTTTTTCCTCCTTCTTCATCGATCGAGACGTCTTAACTTGATCCACATACAGCTAACTACACGAGAATACCAAGCTCGTGCTGGAGATGTATAATATGCATATTTTTTCACAACTTATCGCTTGAAAATGAAACTATCCTTCCTTAGAATATCCATTTGTTATTTTTTAGGTGAAATTAGCTCAATTTCTTCTCTTATGTAGAAATTAATAGTTGAGTTGTTGTATTATTTTGAAGATTTAGTTAACTGTATGGGAAACCAGGATATTCTCTCATCAAGGAGATTGTTGTTTGAACAAGGATAAGTAGGATATTAATCTAATATAGGACTAAGAAAAAATATGGTTATCTTTAATTTATTTTTCTCTTGTTAACTTTAGGGTTTTTCAGTACATTATCTTATTTATCTTCTGAGTATGGTATATTACCTTATTGTATTGCATTGTTTATTTCAGGGATCCAATGATTCACCTTGGAACAGCTACGCGAGTATGCTTTGTGAAGTTTACAGATCCTTGCAGTGTTCACGTGGCTCAGCATCTCACAAACACAGTTTTTATTGACAGAGCACTGATAGTTGTACCAGTACAGGATGGTATGGACTGTGTTAAGTTGAGATGTTCTTGCTTTAGTTAGCAAACAGTCTTTTTCTTTGTTTTTTACCCATGTACCTTGAGCTTGCAAGAAAGTGAACAAGACACTTCAGAAACAATACTTCTCCTTCAAATGATGTGGAACAGGGATACTTAGGGAAAGAGTTCAGGAGTGTAAATACTGTACTCCAAATTATCAACAAAACAGAAAAAGACAGGAACAAAAAAATCATTATAACAACCAAATTAAAAAAAACAATTATAGGAAAGTAATGGAAACTTCAATCTTTAAGTAAGTGCAAGCCCAGTGATAATATTAATGGTATCCATGTAAAATTTTCAGCGTGCTCACTGGCTGAGAGCAAGTCAACTATTGATAGCAGGCAATGGCAATTGAATTAATTGTGAAAAGTAGCATTTTGAAAAAGGGGTCCAGAACAAATTCTTAACAACACAAAAAATCTCAAGCAGGTAATTATTTATTACCCACTTTCCAAACATAAACAGTGAGGGAGTAAAACTTTGTTAATCAATGTATTTGTTTTAGTGGGTGGAGTATTTTCTTAAGCTTTAATGTAGACAATAATGGTATATTATTTTAGTACTGAACTTGATAAGAACTGTGCTGCAAGGTTTAAACCATTTTATTCTTGTCACTCGGCTGTTGCAAGTTCTTGCCTAAGAATAAATTGGGTCTTTGTCTTGTTTCTTTGTTTTCCATTATTTGAGCAGCTGAAGAAATCTCAGTCTGGCCACTAAGACTGTGTGGGAAGTGATTAAAGAACACAAAGATCTGGTTCATGGCATCATGTGAAGATGATGCCCAGTAATTTAGAAGTATCTACTCTCATCACCCATTGGCTGGGTAATGTTTAGATATTGTGACAAGAAGTTAAATGTCAATTGTCTCTCAGGAGTCTGTGGGTCAACAGAAGCACATGGTGATGATATTAGAGTGGCCTTCCTCATTGACTCTGTTCTGCTTTACTGGTGTTTGAGCCCCTAGTAACATAATGTATGCTGTACATTAACAGTGATCTGATCTGTGTCCATTAAATGAATGCTAATTGTTTTTAAATAGGAACAATACCAGATGAGTCTAAAGCAGTTCAGCTGGCAGCACCTGCCAGTGCAGTTGCTGGAGGCTTTACAGGATCATCAGGAGGATTACTCCCCACACCACCCATGCCAGCACAGGTAAAGCCTTCCTATTTCATCATTGTTATGAAGACAGTTACCCTTACTGTATGTGAAGTTATGACCAGGTGAAAAATTATACCCATGAAAAGTGGGTTCAGCAAGTGGCCTTTTACCTTTGAGGCTCTTGGATATATTTGTGTTAAAAGAATAGGGGTAATTATAAGGCTTATCACAAAAGGTGCTGTTAATTCCTGATGCCACAGACAAATTTTCAATGCGGGGTCAGCATTTAATTAACTTTTGAATTAGTAGATGTAATTTAAAATAATTAAGGTAGCAATTAGTTTGTCATCTTGTTGCTGATTAGGAAAAAAAATGAGCTTTGGGATCATAAACATTCTTTACTTCTATTTAGGTTCCAATTGTTCCAGGAGTAGTTTCTACAGTTATTCCTGGGGTAAGTTAAAAGCAAATTGTTTTGTTTGTTTGATGTGCATTTTAGTGGAGGGGATATGGTGTAATTTCCACGCTGCTACCAATGCAGTGAAATTTATTGAAAAATAAATGCAGAGGTGTTTGAATAGTTAACCCTTCAACTCCCGAGATCTCATTGGTAACTCCTTACTGTCTGCCATATAGTTCTTCTGATGTTAGTTTGATGAATTTGGTATTGGATCAACTAATAATCCCCTAATTAAGATTTTTCTCTATTCTCATCACTTGTCTGCTTGATATCGTATTGATATTGTAAGGAGAAATTCTGTCTTGGTCACTCATGGGAGTTAAAGGGTTAAGGAACAGCTTTTAAAACTGTAATAGTTTGATTTTTAGCGTTTTTCCAGTTATAAGAGCATTATCTTTTTAAATAGAAAAGTACAAATCAAACTACTGGTAAGTTAGGATAATTTTCCTCCAAATATATGAAGAAAGAGCAAGGAAACTGGTTTGAGTAATGTTTTAGAATTTGTTTGCAAGGAATTGATAATTCATCAGTTCACCTATATCACACAGGAAAAAAATGTAATCATTGATGTCTAGGTAAACTAAAGCCTTTATACAGGCCCAAGTGGCCCATGGGGCCAGCACTTAACTGCAGTTTCCTTAGCATGAAGCGACTAGGAGTATTGCTACTTCCCACACCTTGTACAGCTAGCTGAAGAGAAGCGCTGTGAGAGTAAAGTGTCTTGCCTCAGAGCACAACACAGTGACCCCAACCAGTGCTTGAACCTGGACCACTCAATCTAGAGTCAAGTGCACTGATATCTAAGGGCTTTATACAAATTCAGAAAGTTTGGATACAGAAAGCAGTAAGTGAATATTTAGGGAGTACTGTAGGTGCTCTTTATATCTACACACTCTTACACATGTCTTAATTGTACAGTAGGCTATATTACTTTGACTTAAGAAAACTAATAGTACTATTCTTTCTTGATGTCTAACAGCTAGCCACTGCTCTAACTGTACCTGCTCCATTACCGCCTCCACCTCCCCTAACTAATGTAGACCCCAGCAAAATTGATGAAATTAGACGAACTGTTTATGTTGGAAACTTGGATACCACGGTAAGAGCAGAAAAAATGGATTTAAAACTGTATTTATATTTGACACATTTCAAAACAAGTGTTTTCTTTTTAAATAAAGGTCATGCACACTGTAGGATAATTATAGATAATGATCTTTGCGTCCACCTCAGTGATTATTTCATCCACATTATCTTCACTGCAGTTTCTAAGTCTTTTAGGAGTTTTAATGTTACACTGCTCATAATTCTGTGTGAAATTTCCTGTGTACTAATTTTGCGGAAAAGACTGGTATAATTTTGACTAGCAAAAATCATTTTTGATACAAGAGGAAACAACAAAAATATTTTCAGCTACCTTAACCAGTTAATAAAAATAAATTGTTTTAGTTGAACTTGTTCATTAAGATCATTAAAAAAGTCACCAAGAATCTTCAAACTAACTTTTCCCTTTCAAAACAACTAGAGTGTCAAGAAGAGAAATTTAAGAAGGACTTTTGGCTTTTCTTTGAATGGTACTTTGTTTCATAACCCTTCAATGGTTAGCACCTAAATTTAAAAAAGAGTATCAGTTAAGGCATTTTATGCTGAATAAACTTTTCTCTCCTTTTTTTACCATAGCTGTCAGCAGAACAGCTCATGGCATTCTTCTCAGGCTGTGGTGAGATCCGATATGTGAGAATGTCTGGGGATGATACTCAACCCACTAGGTAAGCATAATGGTAACAGAGCTTTTAACAACTACCAGTACATGTAAATGGTCATTCTTAGCAATCACTTTTTGGCATAGGATGTAAAATCATTTCAAACACACAGGAAGCATAAGAGATTCCAAGACTCTTCTAGATCAATATTTTTAGATGTTAAAAATGAAAGAGGATAAATTTTCAACTGCAAATAAATAATTGTTAGAACTTTTTTACATACAGTCTGTCTCAGACTCTTTCTAACCAGTGTCTTAAGTCATTTTTTTTTTCACCAGCATATTTTGCTATTACAATAATTGTTAATTATTGTTTTTGTCATTCATATTTTGTTTTGTTTTTTTTTGGAGGAAAAAGGGATTTACTACATTGCTGTATGTTGTTGACCTAGAATGGGATAATTACAATCATACTAATGTTTATTGACAATGATGTGTCCCAGAATGTTGATATTTATTGCACCATAAGTAAACATAAATGACATTGAATGAAGAATTATTTTTGTATTCCATTGGATTTAAGGTTTGCATTTGTCGAGTTCTCAGAACCTAGTGCAGTAAACACCGCTTTGCAATACAATGGAGTGATATTTGGTGGCAGACCTCTGAAGTAAGCTCTTAGATTTCATAGATCACTCTTTCATTCAATTAATACAATGGTTTTGAATACTTGCTATGATTGATCATCACCTCTATTGAATTGTTCCTTTTTTGTCTTTAAAGAGTCAACCACTCAAAGAATGCCATTGTTAAGCCAGCTTCCAAGTCATCAGATAAAGACCGCAAAGATATTGATAAGGCTATGCGACGTGTTAAAGAAGCATCCTCGATCATTGAAGATGAAATTGATCCTGGTTGGTATATCAAGTACTATATTTCTGTAATTTTTAAGAAACAAAGACTGCATTAAGTACTTTCTTTGGTTGTACTAAAGCTCAACGAGTGTACCAGTTTATTTAACTCGTAGTCTGCTGAGCAATTCTCTCTTCTAGCTGCCATGCCTTTTCTTATAAATTAGTGATGAGGGTCAATCAATACATCATGTTAACACCCTTTGTCTTTTGTTTGTTACTCTCATCATCCCTCTTTTTGTGTCTGGTTAATCTTAAGAGAAGTTAAAAGTGGATCAGCTCTGACATTTATTTTTTTAATGATTTTAAAAATTTGCATGATAAACATTCTGTAGATTTAACAAGGTAATTTGTTAAATCTAACAATTGAGTTGATAATGTGAATTGGCCTCTGTTTAGAGTTAAAAAACTGAAGTTTTGAGTGTTAGCCCCTCATCAGAGTGACTGGAGGAACTGTGGACTATGTGTGTGTATTTATATGCAGAAAATGGAGCTATGCCATTGGTGGGAACTCTCCTTCTCATTACCATGTTAAACTGACTTCACTTAATTTGCCTTTTTTGTTTTAGATGAAAGGTCAAAGTCTCGCTCCAGATCACGATCCAGAAGAAGATCTCACTCAAGGTAACATGACTATCACTTGCTGAAAAAAATTCCATCTTATCTCCTTTTTCTTTTTAGTAGTCCTCTTGAAATTTCAACTCTGCCTCTGTTTTAGGGTTCAATATTAGCTGTTGTCAGGTCATCTGAGATAAACATGAAATAATTTGGATGAGTATGATAGCACAAAAGGTTGTCTTCTGATGGACTAAATTTGAAAATTTGTTTTAAATTTAATATTTGACATTCAAGACTAACCTGTCACAAAGTGCTTTTTTACTAGACAAAAAAAAATTGATTTTAGTTTGCAAACCTTTATCACTGGATGTCATTTATTTTTTTGTAGTACAATACATTTCCCCATACATCATGTACCAAACTCACAATTAATTACTCAAGTGCTCAATTTTATGTGCTGAACAGCTGCAAACAGACTCATCATTGCCTTTCTTATGTCTGCAATGCAATATATTATGGGCAGATTACAAACTAGTAAAATCTAGCCAGGGCAAGTATATTTTTTTACACTTACCTGGCTAAGGACTTTGACAACACACATATATGGATCCCTGTTGTTGGTATTTGTTGGTATTGCATTTGATTAGTTTTTACATTCAGTGCAGGCATTTCTTTCCTTAAGCAATTCAGGCTTCTTTTAAGAAAAATGTTGTAATCTTTCCTCAGGTCCAGAAGAAGAAGGTCTCGATCTGGGTCAGGCTCACGTCGAAGAAGAAGATCACGTACCCGCTCACCCTCAAGGTACAGATAGATTGTGTGTCTTCTGGGAATTTAAGGCTTTCTTGCACCCCACTTTTCATTTCCAGATTTGCTTGTTTCTATTACCTTTTTGCGAAAAAAATTTTCTCCAAGATTGCTCACTGTGATATGCCAGAACAAGTTGACTTAATTTCTTCAAACTATACATTTAATGTCATTCCCTTGCCTTGTCAAAATACTTTGATGACTGAGTCTGTCACCAGTGCATGATCCAGCTAGCCAAGGTGTTATTTTTTGGGTAAGAAATTGCCCAATGTTTTGTAAATTTTAAGAATAATTTGTTAGTGTTAGGAGCACACAAAAACATACTGGTACATGTGTATTTTGGCATTCCTGTATTTAGGGGTGTGTTTAACCCTTAGAACCCCAAGAGTGACTATTATGCAATTTCTCCTTGCAATACTACCTCTGAATCATACATTAAGGCAATGCCAATAAAAGAAATGATCCCCCAGTAAAGAATATCTTGATTGTTAAACAAATTCTCCTTTTCATCACCTTTGGAGATGTATTGAGTACAGTCTGGAGAATACGCATACTGATGTTAGTGTGTGCAAGGTTAACCTAAGAGAATAATTCTGGATATATTTTTCAGCTTTTCAAAGAGAAAACTAGTAAACAGTCATCTTTTCCACTGAAATTCTTTGAATCTGTTTTCACTGTGCAAAATGATTAATTTTCCATGTCCTTCCTAGGGATAGATACAGAGACAGGCGTCGTTCATCCCGTTCTGCCTCAAGACACAGAAGTTCCCGTCGTTCTCGAAGCAGGTATGATAGATAGTGCTCAAAGACCAACATTTGATACCTTGTTTCTTCAAATATTTTGCACATGCTGGCTTCTTTCTCTTTTAAAAACAATAGCTAATAGTAGGCTTTATGTGACTGATTTTTTTCCCTATTCTGAAGGGAGAGAAGGAAAGGTCGACGTTCAAGGTCTCGAGAGCGACGTTCTAGATCACGAGAGCAATCACGTGGCAGGTCCAAAGAAAGGAAGAGAACTGATTCTTGTGAAAGATCAGTATCAAAGGAAAAAAAGGAACCAAAGGAAAAAGCAGAGGCTGTTGAGAAACCTGAAAGTTTGAAGGAGAAAAGTCGAGAGAAATCAGAAGAGAGGAGTGAAAAAACTAGATCAAAAGACAAAGAGAAAACAAGAGAATCAGAAAAAGAAAGAGAACGGAGAAAGGAAAAAGAACGACAGAGAGAAAAAGAGAAGCAAAGGGAAAAAGAGCGCGAAAGAGAAAAAGAAAAGGAAAAAGAAAGACAAAAAGAACGCGAGCGAGAGAAAGAGAAAGAAAGAGCCAGGGAACGAGAGAGGGAAAGATCAAAAAGTCATTCTATCTCACCGTCACCAAAGAGAAGCTCTTCTAAGTAAGTTTTCATAAATATTTTTCTGTTTTCTCTCATCTCTTTATAAGTTAAACCCTAATAAGGGCTGCTAGTCTCCCCCTTTTGTGTCCTAATTTTACCTTAAAAGTTGGAGAGTACATCAGTTCCATTTAAAGAGGAAATTAAATGTAAGTCTGGTTCTCATGTTAGGTAAAGATTCACTGCCAGGCAACCCTATTTCAAGACTAATACATGAATGTTTATTTTATTCCATTTAAAGATGCATTTTTTTCTCCTTTCCTTTTTTTCCTCTCTTTTTGTTTGGTTTTTTCTTTTAAAAAGTGTTCTTAACTTAGCAGCAAAGAATTTGGATTAATGAACTCTTTATTTTTCAGGTGAACAAATGTGAAGCTCAATAGAAAAGAATACATTTTACACTTTTTTGAGTGCTACTAATGTGTTGTCAAACTAGAATTCAGAAAACAGTGCATTTTGTTAAAAAACAAAGAACTGGATAATCTTTCACAAGTTCTAAAAAACTGTTAACAAAACTTCTCCATCATTAGAGCGCACCATAAAAAGAAAAAAGAGCGAAAAGTTAGGGAGAAAAAGGACAGTAGCTCTCAAAGTGCTGAGGAGGAAAGTGACAAGGATAGAGCTTATCCAGGTAGGTTACTCTGCTATTGATCTTAGATTCTTTAAACAAAGTCATCAAAGTACTGAGTCACCGTGGGTCTGTAACTGGTTTCCTTTCCACCATTTCTATAAGTTCACTTATTATAAAGAAAATGCTTTTTTGACCATTGCAGCAGACAGTGATCAAGGCACAGAGAGAGAGAAAAGAAATAGAAAATATGGCAGTGCAGAAGGAAAAGATAGTGAAGGTTCTGATTATGATAGGAGCAAGAAGAAAAGGAAAAAATATTCAGAGGAAAAAGAAGAGGATGAAAATCTGTCAGATGGTGAAAGGAGAGGTGAGAGAGAAGATAGCTCGAGCCGACGTTCAAAGAAAAAGTCCAGGAGCTATAAGAAGAAGCCTGTCAGTGCCGGTGACTATGACAGTGATACTAACTAATGACATGACAATTGAATACTATACTAGTGTTAGAGTTTGTACTTTTCCCTTTACTCTAAATAGATCTTATTACTGTTCATGTGGCCCTGTTCAGAATCTCAGCCAGTAATTAAGTACCTTGCACATTTTCCAGGACAGAGATGCTCACAAAGTTCATTCATGTACTCATTTTATTGCCTCTCTGATTCAATCATTTGTTTTCACAAAAGACTTCTCCTGGTCCAATTGCATGTTAATCAATGTCACTTGCCTCTGTTCTTTTCTGTTATGATTTAAATGACATCATCTTTTAGGAAACAAAACTAGCCGCCAGATTGTCATTCACAAATGGCTAAAAGCCAGTTAATACTTTCAAGGCCATAAGTCAGGCTTTTCTCATTTTAGTGCTGAATGCTTTTATATTGTAAATTTTGTCAGTGTTCATTAAAGTGTTAATCTGTCTATGCTATGGGCCCTTTGCTGTTCCTTGTATTCTAAACATCTAAATTTAATCTTACATGAATATAATATATATTTATACACCATCTCTATTGCCAGTTTGGGTCACAAATATGTTTCAAGTGGAAATTTTGCATAAATACAGCAGAATATTGGTCACAACTACAATTTAGTGTTTTGAGTTGATCAAAATCAAGACATTGAATCTCCTGTCACAAATGGATCTTTTTTTTTTTTTTTGCTTATATTGAAACCCTAAGATATATTCGCAGTATAATATACTGTATCGTTGGTTCTAGAATATCCTGTATCCCCATAATTAATTATCCTGAATCCCAGAACTTTTCCTTAACCGTGCCGAATCTCTCCAACGTGCTCACAACTCTTTCGTCTCCATACAATTTCTTCTCAGTTGTTTTGTAACAGTTTCAACCGGACTGATTGATAACTATAAACGACCAAAACGCACCTTTCGTCGTCGATTCTAGAATAGGGTCTCGAGATCAAGGCTTGAAGCTACTATTTCATCACGAGGAAAATGAAGTACGCATACCTCCCCTATCAGATAAGTTATCATATGATAGAGGAGGTTAGATGCAAGTTACCGGATGAGTTATCATCTGATATCATCCTTATCAGATGGCCATTTTACGTAATCAACTCAGTTAATAATACTTAGTTACCCTGTTACTCTCTCTCACCAACGTAGCACCACAGTTAATTTAAAACCGTACAACCTTTATTCACTCTTTACTTGGCCATGCAGCAACAATGCGTGAAATTACGCGCAAACCCTTGAAGCTTGCTGAGAGTTTAGAGGGTGAGATTTAACGCTTTTACAACGTCTTTTTGCTCTACAGTATTTTTGTTTCTGAACTGATACAAACGGTGGATAATTTGGAGAATTAGTTCCGTACATAAATTCGGTAAGTTCTTTATTTTTCAAGTGACTCATCACTTGTCCGCCGACGCAATACAGCTGTTTCTGCGAAAAAAATTACCGCTTTGACAGAAAGAATAGGCAAGCAAACAAACTAGTAATAATAGCAATGACAAGTTTCCCAGTTAAACACATAGAGCTTATGTTCTAAAAACAGCGAAGGTAAACTAAAACACCATTATGAGTAGGATCTTGATTAGTATAGTATGCATTAATATCTGTTGTAAATGAGGTGCGTTTGGTGTAAGTAGTTTGACAATAAGTCTCCATTTTGGTTTTATTTATTCCCTTGTTGTAGAAGTTTTCAATAGTCCACAAAAAGTTTCCTTGAAATGGATGGTCAGATGTCAAGCGTTAGAAAGAAAGTTCGGCTTGAAAGAAGACTTGCTAGAGATCTCTTTTTGTCCATTTTGATTAGTTTTTATGATCTATGTCAGACAGACTCGTAGATGACATCACTATTGTCACTGTTTTGTGTTATTATCTAAAACAACTAGATTCCAAGTTGCCATGTGTTTGTTCATTAGTGGATCATAGAAGACAACAAAACATGGTAAGGACATCAGTGATGCACACTTCTGTGCCTTGTGTACCCTTCTTGTTCTTAACACATTTTGACATGATCTGTGATCTATTTCTGAACAGAAGCATGTCAACGTGGAATCTATTCATGAAACTGATCATAGATTATTAAATTTATCTTGTTGGTTGGCTTCATGTGTCCAAAGCCCTACCACTACTTTTCTCAAAGTTTACTAAAGCACTAACTCAGTTTTTCATATTATCTTTTGCTCCGTATTGTTTCAGTTTTGTCTGGCTTCATCAATTTTTCACCCTCTGCAAACTCCCATCACCTTAAATTCTAATTTGAACATGACATTGTGGTTGTGAATAATCATCTTGAGGATGTCAATTTCCATTTTAGTGTATTGATGCACATTTTTACTTGGCTCTGTCAACTTGACTTTGTTTACCTTCATAATATCCATTTGAATTGATTTTCTTTTATCTCTTTTAAAAGGTTAAGACACTCAGCTATCTATGTAGGAAGGCATTGTTTGAAGCCTCAGAAATGAAATGGTGGATTGTGCAGAGGAAAATACTGATCGTGGTATGTGCTCTTGACTTGTTTGTATCTAATGTTTTCTGTCATCAACTAATCTTTTCAATTAAGTGGGTCAGTCAGTTAGGCTCATAAATAGAAGATTTGGGTGCTAGTGCTTGAGTATAGGAAAAGTCTGCATGCCAAGCACAATGGCCCGCGTACATGTGCACTCTTGACTGTGAAATAATTCCAAACATTCCCGTTTGGACTGGAAATCTACTCAAAATAAGTCACGCATCATTTGTTTTTATCTTTTAAAATGTGAAGCGGAGAATATGATCATAAACATATATAACAGTTAAAACATGTTTCCCTACTTTTTTTCTGTTCCGAAAGGAAAAGAAGACTTTTTATTGCCGACAACAAATTTAAGTGTGACCTCAATTTTTTTCAATCACTTTCAAATGAAATCAATGAAAGAACAAATGAATTGATAAATCAAAAGGATACATTTGTGAGAGGTGCTTTCCATCTTTCGAGAAAGTGAAGAGAGAAAAACTTAATGTTTACAACATAAAAGTACCGATGTGGTCTAAGTAAGCTCTTCAAGGGTCTGTTACGTTGTTTAACTCAATATAAAACTCAAGGATAGCTACCCAGAAAGAACTCTTAAATGTCTGACGAATTCAAGATTCACTATACACAAGTCCACTGTAGAGAGTCGAGCTTTGATCTCTTGAAAAGTGCTCTACTGCTTTGTACGCGTGTGGTCTCAGTCAAACACGTGTGAACGTGTGACAGGGAGTTATTTCTAATTTTATACCGAAGATGTTTTGCGCTACCACCAGATAAAGAACGGCTCACCACAAGGTAGGTTTAATGACGGGATTCTGGAGTCTATAGTCTCCTTTTTGTGCTGGTCATTTACAGATCCTTCCTTTTTTTCTTTAAAGATTATGGTAACCTTTTGAGCGAAAACTTTGTTACTTGATGTTTTAATTTGACTTAATTTGCACGAAGAAAGCACGTTATTAAAAAGTGTTACAGAAAACCATTTTGAAAGTGCAATATCAGTTCATTGATACTAAGTCAGATGCGGCTGAATGTGATTCAGTGAAATTGTTCGCTGACTGATCACCGTGCAGCTCAGCCGAGTGGTTCCTTGACAGCAATTAATGCTGGTGCTAAGTGGAATCGCAGTGACGACTGTAGCTCCCCTGTGGTGATAACACGACTGGTGTCCGAACACAACTCCTTATGGGTTTTGCAACCTTTATTAATCAAGAGACCGCCATGAATAATGAAAAAAAAAATTTTGAAATAGGAGCTTTTTGCTAAGGGTTAGGCGTTCTTGGACTAGCGTGCATTACGAGACCTTATCATTGCAATAAAGGGTAATGAAATGAAGTCGATTCAGCTGGTGTCGGTTGCTCACGTTACTAATCTGAGGTTCTAAAATTTCATGCGCTATGCACGCTAAAGCAATGTATGGATATATGCGATTAACGTCATTCAAATGGTTTGGAGACAACGCGCCACTCACGCAGAATATCGCTTATTAGCTCACGTTTTGTCAAGCAAACAGGCAGAACCTTGTAGGTGAGCACCCCAATTAAACGCACAACTGTCAGGCGGGTTGTTTGCTGTCACGGCTAATGACATGTCTATTGTATTCTGTGACGGCCCGCCCTCAAGATTAACTGTGCGCCAATTATGAAATGTGCTAAACCAATCAGCATTCAAGTCACTAACCCAAGTGGAGACCGCAAAACGCTTGAGCCGGAGCTGACGAGATTTAAAGATTGTCTGTTAGTAAGCTATGAAGGCCAAATGACTGCGGCCTCCGATAAACTGAATAAGCCTGTAGTTACACATGATTTAATCCCTCTGGTTAGGATGAAGGGATGGCGTTCTTTTCGAACCTTTTATGGGTTTTACTACTCGTTGTAAGTTGACAAATGGATCAAGTTAAGACTTTAGGACCTCATCACTTACTAATCATAACATACCTTGTTTGTATTCCTCTCTACCTGCAGGTAACAGAGTCACCTCTCCGGAGTCATAATGCTGCACCGGACCGAATACCTTCCACAAGATCTTGCACGAATTACGCGGTAACAGATTTCAAGATCTCTTGCTTGTGTGCGTTAATGTGTGCACTTAAATTCTTATAGATCACTGTTCTATTGTGCTTTCAAAAATAATTACGTTGTGCATATTTCATTTGTACTCGTGTTTACAGCTTCAAGAGAACCTCAACTCGTTTTTATGGTTAGTGAAACGAAACCCACCAGCTTACTTCTTCGGTACAATCCATGTACCTTACACTAGAGTATGGGACTTCATTCCTTCAAACAGCAAAGCAGCCTTCAAGACAAGTCAATACGTATATTTTGAACTTGATTTGACCAGCAAACCTACAGTTAACGCACTTTGGAAATGTCAAATGTTACCCAAGGGAGGACTTCTCAAGGACGTGTTACCTCGGAGTATGTATCGACGCCTACACAGGCATTTGAGATACATAAAGAAAATGATCCCTATGTGGTTGAAAGACAATGATGGAGAATATTACCAAGGAATGGCGCCTTATGCCGACAAAATATTCCAGCTTCTGACTAAAGACTGGCAGAAAAAGCGACCGATATGGATCATGCTTATGGTAAATTCTCTGACCGAAAGTGATATTAAAAATCGAGGAATACCAGTTTTGGATCAGTATCTTGCCTCGGAAGCTGCCAGAAATGAGAAATTCACGGGAGCTGTGGAGGAAGTGGAGGAACAGTGCCAGCCACTTAACTCACTAAATGATACACAGGTTAGTCGATTGAGAATCGCATAATCTCTCAAATCTTCTCTAAGTCAAAAGTTTCTCAGTAGAATCCAGCTTACTGGGACAATATAGATTAACTGAAACTGACAACATCAATGTTAAAGTTAAATTGCACGCGACAACTAACAATAGTTGTATATTTCCTATAAGCACATGGGACGACAGCTTCGAGCTTCGAGTAGTACTGGCGCTTTATTGAAGCGTGATCTCCAATAAGTTGCGTTTTCTTTACATTTCCTTTTTGCGTGAGTCGGCGTGCGAGCTAATTGTATTATCATGTAACAACTTCTATTTGTTAAGTTATGACTGCAGTAAGTAGTATTTTTAGGTTGATTAAATCTCAAAGGTGCCGTTAAAATATTTCGATTGCATAAGTGAAGTGAGTGGCATTATTATTTTACATATTATGTGCGGACGCATAAAAAGAGTCATTTGTGTCTATATTGAGCTTTGTTATTTACATTGTCAAAACAGTGGGAAAAGGTTCCTTAATCGTGTTTTGTTAATAGCGGTTTTACTATGCATTTCTGGAATGTTTAGTGAATATACTGATTGTACGAGGAAAGTCTATTAGCGGTCAAGTTTGTTTTGTATGAGACTTGAAAGCCAATCAGTCACCATCTGATGATTAATTTAGAGAAGGTAACCTGCCTGACTGCCTGCCTCTACACTAGTTAGTGGTTTTAGCAAAAAGTCTTTTTGCGTAAATCGCTCTCACAATTGCCGTCTTTACACCGGTTAATGCATTCAAAAGCTATTAAGTTTTCATTCTTAACAATAAACATTTGCGCTCATGCATTAAAAAGCGAGAAAACTTCTCTGATTTGTGTCATCCTTTGCAGATTCTTTAAATGGTCGTGATGTCTGAACGTCACCACTCGCGCATGTTTTAGGCGGCTTGCCTTTCGGTGTCCGGTGTCAAGCTCCGACTGGAGTATCTATTACATGGTTGTTTTGTGCAGCTTTTATCGGGTTTGATATGAAAACAAGGCTCAGCTGTGGTGTCATTAAACGTTTATTATTATCACGCCTTTCTGTTCAAAGATTTGCTTACTACAAAGGCCACGATATTTGGCATTTTTTGTTCCAGGCAGACAAAATACTGAATATAGACTGAGGAGAACGTTTCATTCTTTTCGTTGAGTTTGTGTTACTTTTAAGCGGCTTTCTATTCCTTATGTCAATAACCTATAATATAGACAATGGTGTTAATTAAATCAAGAGCGTGTCATTTCAAATTGCTGCAAATTCCCATTTTTAACCGCGGTGAGCTCATTTCTGGCCGTATAAATGAGTTATACTAGGAAGTGGCGTGCTTATTATAACGTGACTCACGTACAGTGATTTTTGCAGGCGATTTCAAGGGAATTGTAATAAGTATGAATTGAATTGACATAATTAAATATGCAAACACGTCCTCTGTCCATCACCTTGAGAAATTCTCTGTTACCAGCGCAAAAAGCTATCATTCGGCAACGGGCGGAAAGTTTTGATCACTGTCTTCTGGGTACATCGAGTGGCCGTCAATATTTGGAGTTTCTTGGGTATGAATAATTCTGTGATATAATGCTATTGATCCCTGCCCTTTTATTCTTTGAGATTATTAGAAAGGCGGTACTGTTTGATGTACCGAACTTAAAGGACTCTTGACCGAAACACAACTTGTGTATATGAGTGTCCTGTGTAGACCATGATCTACACCACAGCCTCTCACAATAGTATTTTAATAACCCAAAGTTCAAACTTCTGTTTTATTTTGTTTTATCTGTTGTTGTTTGAACGAGAACATTGTCTTTTTCCTGTCACATAACAATGCTTTAAAAACAAAAACAAAAAGATATGGTATAGCCGCAATCAGAAAAATACAACCCAGCGAAAGACATTCCTTTCTTCATGCGTAGCAGGTTGTTTTTGATATTTTTAAATGTAATTAGCCACATTTCCTCCGTTGTTAACAAGTAACTAACATGCCTTGCCAGTATATCGCAAACCTAAGGGCAAAAAATAAGGGAAAAAGATAATTTGTGTATTGCGCAAGATGAAAGACATATTCAACTCAACTTATACAGCTGCAATGTTAAGATAACCAATTTAAGTAGAGCGTACGTGATTCACAATGCTTGACAAGTAAAGGCATCAGATAAACCAAAATGGCTTAAAGGAACTCTTCGGCTTTTAGTCAGATATCGTGACATCAATTGCTAACATGTTTTTAGTTCATTGTAATGATAAGTGAGTTAACCTGGTCGATGATAAATACGATCAAATTTTGTTTTCATCGTTTTCCTGTTGGTATATTGGCGATTATATGTTTCAGTAACCAGAAAGAGAGTGAAATTATTGTGCAAAGAATCAAAAGAGCTTGCATTGTTTCTGTCTTGTGAACTTTAAGGTTGATGATAAAGTATGTATGTACTTAATTTGGATCAATTGATCTCCTTAGTTAAAAAATAACGGCATGAGTCACCCCAGATAACTGTGTAAGAAACCAAATAGCCTGAAGGCAAAGGTATACTTCACAAGATGTTTGGCAGGGAATATTAAATCTGGCATGCGTGCCAAAGTACATAAGTTTCCATTTACACGTCCTTTTAGAGCTAAATTGACAATCATTAGTAAGCGCTGAACTCACGTTTTTGGGCGTTACCATTGCTGCAGACAAAGGTGCGAGTTTTTCTTGACACTCTTTTTAATATTCAAGAAATCGAAGAACTACAAGGGATGTAAACGTCTCTTTTATTTCAGTCTTCGCGTTAATTATATATTTGTTAATTTGTTTATTTATTGTAACAGTGATAACAGATCTTGGTGACCATGGAGGGATTTTTTAAAAATATTTTATCATGGTCACTTAACTGATGTCCGTCGTTCGTGTTGTGCAGAATAATAATAAGAAAATTTAACTAGTTGAACTCTCTTACCTTTTTCTTGCAGGTGGTCTTTGCTTTAAACCAAACACTTAACTTTCAAGAAAAGCTGCGGGTTGGCAAAGCCCACGTAGCCTATACTACAGACGATCTCATAGATCATTATAACTGCGGAGATCTTACCTCCGTTCTTTTCTCGACTCAGTCAACGCGACTGCCAAGTATATCTTCCAACTTCTCACTAAGGCAATTAGAGTTGAAGAGGACGCAAGAGATTGATCAATATTTCAGAAAGGAGCTCATTTTCAAAAGGAATGAGCGCATGGCAAAAAGAGTAATCGAACTTTTAAACAAGTATCCTGAACGCAATTTCTTTTTTGCGTTTGGTGCTGGTGAGTGTCATTATCATCATCATAATCACTACTACGATCCTTATTGTTATCGTCATCGTTTTCATCAGCGATTTTGTCATCCTTATCGTTATCATTACCAGTATTAATTCTGTCATCCTTGTCGTTATCATGAGCAGTATTGATTGTGTCATCCATATTTTTAGCATTATCAGTATCGATTTCGTCATCCTTATCGATTTCATAATCAGTATTTATTCTGGAATATCGTATCGTTATCATGAGAAGTATGGATTTTGTATCCAAGTTCTTATTACTATCATCATCGTTCTTAGTCCTGAAGACACCCTTTGTGTACAACGTGATAACTAGAGTCCTGTTGTGTTTAATTCGTTTTGTATTTTAGTCATCTGGTTCAGCCCAGCTGATTTACTTTACGCCGCGTTACCAGTGGTTTAAAGTAGGAAAAAAAGGGAGGGGACGTGAATTTTGAGTCTTTGATATAATTGTGGAAATAGACGTCGATCAGATTATATTATTTAGATTATTCTTCATTATATTAATATACTTCCTGTTTTTCTACAGGGCATTTTCTTGGAAATCATAGTGTCATAGGTATTATGAAACGCGAAGGGTTTGCAGTAGAGCACATGGCACCTGGCCAAAAGCTACCAACGTACGGTCTTTGATTTAAAAATTCACCTTCTAAACCTCTTCACTCAGTACTATTATTATCATTTTGTTTTACCATTTCTGTTTGTCAGAGTTCTTCTAGTTCAATTTAGTATGCAACGTGCAATTTATAATATTTTCATGCAATTTGTTTTTTTTTTAGTTATAAAGTTTATTTATTATATATATAAAAACCAATGAAATACCTTTCAAATATTGGTTGGACTGTTGTTCTGACACTCACAAGCTGCCAAGGTCACCCAACCTGGGATAAGTGTCATGTGAGATTAACTCCAACTTTTTTTCTAGATGTTTGTTCTCGTAGGCATATTGAAGACTCTGTATGGAATAATTTTTCTCTCTAAATTAGCCCATTTTCCTTCCACGTATAACTGATGTGAGTTTTACTCAAGACGTTTTATAAAAAGAATCTTCCGAAACATAAAAACGTCCTAAATGTAGCTTTTTTTAGGAAGGTGTATAAAACAAACATACAAAAAAGATTTTGACCCTAGATGTACCAAATCAGTTCTTGTATCTTTTAGAATCCCACTCCCATAACTTTTCTAATGGTCCATGCCTGATCTACACAGCCCAAGGAATTAGGAGTAACATTTTTGTTGCCTTTTTTTGCAGTTACAAGGCACTCCGTATTACAAATCCTCTAACAAGGAAAAAAATAAGGCGCAGAAAATGTCGAAAGAGGCACAGAAGAAGATGTTCGGGAAGAAGGAGGAAAAGGCCAGATTTCAGTCGTGTGAAGCTGGTGCTCAAAGTTACGAAAACACCAGTAGAAAAACGGTATGTTGCAAACTTGTATTTACTGAATCAAACCTTTGCAGGTAAAGTATACCGAGTTCAGCCCTTTTGAAAGACTTCCAAGGGTATGGACACTTTCGCACTTGTTAGCGAAGGATTTCAAATTAGTGTAGTTTAAAGTTTTAAATCATGCTGAAATTTCTTTCTCAGTGAAAATATAACTGAGAGTGTAGGAGAGGATCTCAGCAACGATGCATCACCTATCGTGACGTCAGCGGCAGCACCTGTTACCGTATGTAGCACAGGATTGCTACTCTTACACGCACTAACACTATGGCTGCTTGGGTGTAACCTAACAAGAAACGTCCTCTGAGAGCGCTTAAAAGTCTGAAAACTCTTTAAAATGAGTTCAGGAGACTAAATGGATCAGTGCGGCAAATTGCCATCTTCAAGTCTGAGCCTCGACAGAGTGAGACAAGGGAAATAGAATACAAGGCTCACTGGAACAGCTGCCGGCGGACAATCTCATATATACGTACAAATGAACATACTATTGTGAACTGCAGAGTGAGAAATGTGATAGAGAAAGTACAAATGACCAGGAAAATACAAATAACTATAATAATACAGTTTCAACAGTTCAACGTGCCGCATTGTAACCTCTTCTTTGTGTTCACATTATAGACGAAGGCTCATTAATTTCCTCAATCTTACACACGGTCATAACGTCACCATTATTGAATAACATCTGAATTTCTTTCAATTTAAGTGTGAACCATTTATTGTGTCGACTACCCCGTTATTCAGGGATTACCTCTTTGGTAAAAGTAAGATGGTTTCTCAAAGTTCACTGAACCCTGTTCTCTAAAAACTGGGTTGTGAGGAAGACGATCCCTCTCTGTCTATAACTCTCTTTTCACCCGTTCCGTGGGATGTAAAGCAGAGTTGTAAAAAGAAAATACTTCGACTAAATGTGCGTCTGCTGCTTGACCTTTGAAATGTATAGTTACCAATGTTTTTTTGCATTGCCCTCTTCTCATCGCGAAAGCAATTAAATTAATTGATTTGCGTTCTGAGAGTAAACGAACGGTGTATTTTAAAAGAAATTGTTAGCCATTTAACTAAAAAGTTTATCAAACTGTGGAGCTTAAGTTTTTGCCCTCGGCTCAAATGATGGCACTTTCCACAGGCATGTGGGCATTAATTCAGCAGTTTTCCATCAACTAAGGCAATTAAATCGTAATTACGGTTGAGTCTCTCTTCACATGTACAGGTGTATGTGTATTAAGTACATCAATGAAAGTAGTTTGTCAAACTTTAGATCATAGCGAGATATTTATACATATATTTTTTAATAAATTGTGATTATAGCACCTTTTTGGGTTCCCACATTTTTTTATTGTGATTAGATGGTTGCACGATAATGATCTGTGAATTTAAACTCTGAGTAAGTTCTCATGTAGGTAAATAAGTCATCTTAGAAACTCAGTTTATAAACTATTTTTTGAGGCCAATTTACATTTTTAAGTCAGTTGACAAAACAAAATTATCTAGGTAAATAAGCACTCGCAAGGAGATATCTTGGCAGAGAAAGAGAGATTAGTTAAAAACGTATATTTCTGTGATCCTTAGTAAACATTTGATCTGGAGCCCTTTGTGGGAAAGGAACTAAATTAGCCAGGTCAGTTATTCTTAACTTTCTTCAGCCGACCTCCGTCACATTCCATAATTTTTCCCCTTTAAGTGGGTTTTATCGTAGGGTCTGGCTCAACCGAGTGAACAGCTTTGAAGAAGAAACTATTGAAAAAGGTGGTAAGTCCAACCTTAGGTTGGCGTAATCAAGTTCTTAACAAATCGGCCCACTGAATGGTTTACCAGGTTCACCAAGTGCTGAGTCCAAAAAGCTGAACACTAAGCTGGGACAGATTTAGTCACCTGCTCAACTATCAAAGATATACTCGAGTCTTCCGTCATGAAGGAACCGTCAGGCACATGACAAAAAAGTTAAAGGTTGATGATGAAGACTTTAATCACAACAACAGATTAGGAGGAAAATATTCCAAGTAACCAGTTTGTAACTAGCAAGCTACCAGAAGCGCGGTGAAACAAGGGACAAAATCATGACTTCGTTACGCATCTGTTGGTGAGGGTGGTACGAATTTTCTTTACTTATCAAAGAGCGAAATGAAACAAACCCAATACAATCCTGGATTTCTTTAGACACCCAATTGAAAATGTGCTTCACATATGTTAGTTCGGCTCAGGTGTGGTCTAAAGAGGCGCAAGCAAAACAAGCACAGTTCAGCATTACTTTTATTACTCAGTACTCCTTCATTCTTGTGTGGTTAATCGCGATCCTGACCTTCACGGTAACTAAGTAAACATCTCCAAGAGTTAATGAGGTCTACATTTCCTTCATTCGCAGAGTCGTTCCAATTACAAATGAATACTGTACATAACATTTATCAGAAACCACATTAACATAGAAAAAGTACTATTTCCATGAGCAGGCTTCCGCACAAGTCCTACAGTTGTTCATGACAGAACTCAATCATTTCAAACGTCCTCCCAGAGAGGCAAAACAGGTAGTTCTCTTCCTAAAGTTCCAGTATTTCTTAGGACCACGGAGTTTCTTTTCTCTGCTTTGCCATGACAAAGTCTACTTTGCGATTCATTTCAGAGTTGTACAATCTGAGGGCACTTTCATACTTCACTCGCCGCCTTTTTACGGTTGGTTTCTCGTAGTGACGTTTGAGACGGATATCCCTAATGACATTCTCATCCAAAAGCACACGTTGTAGCGATCTCAAAGCAGCTGTTGCGCCATTTTCAGCCATAATAGTACGTGCAAGAAATCTGTGCTGCGCCATATTGCTTGCGCGTTCGAGTTACTCAAGCGCATGACAGAAGCGTGCGTGATGCGCTGGTCTTTCTTAATGCAGGCACAGGAACTGTTGTTCTGTGGCAAAATGGTGGTAAGTTCTTGTTTTGGTTGAGATGTTAAAAGGTTTTTATAATTTGTCCAGCTCCGTAATACCTTACTATATTTGATTCACATGAAACTTTATTGGTCAGACATTCGTTTTCCAACTATATATCTTGTCTATTTACTTCATTGTCGTATTTTCATTAATCGAAGTTCACTGATTACAACTTGCAACGTCTAGCGTATAGCCTTACAGTTCAAAGCCGATCTGGAAAATTTGACCAATGTTAAGCCTGAGGGAGAAGACTTTCGTTGGTATTTGAAGGTAAATCTAAGCTTTGTAGTATTAGTTTGACACATCATTTCCGAACATAAGAGAACCACTTACATAAATAATGCTTAACGGCTACCTTTGGGTTAGCGTAATTGAAAACCTTCAAGTGAAGAGATGATTCTCGTAGGTGAACTGCAATTTAATGAGGGGTGGAAAAGAAGCCCGAGAGAATTCAGGCTTCGACAGAATTCAAACCTTTGCCTCCCTGATACCATTTATGGGGTTATCCATCAATGACAAGGAGGCAAACTGACATCGCATTCGGTGATGTTACGTTACACTGTTTATAAAAATTTTTATATACTAATGGTGTGGGGATATTATAGTTCCTCAATAAATAGTTAGTTGTTAGTTTTATGGTTATAATCTGTAAGGGATTGAATTTTTTACCAAATTATGTTTCCCCATTGTTCTTAAGTTGCAATGTCAGAATTGTGGAGAAGATACAAAGGACTGGATTTATATGAGCTTAGGGGTGAGTTCATATGTATTTTATTTTAGCTCATAACAAAAGAGTGGTGGTCTTACCAAAGGAATTGTATCACGAGCGGAAACCTTTTATTCTACCCTTTTTTGACATATGCTAATCAACGTAATTGTAGTCTTGCCTTTGTATTATTTATTAATAATGAATCCAAAATCACCTGAATAACCCAAGTCTCTTAAAAGAATGCACTTTATTTCCAAAGTAAACATGTGAACACTGAATCTTCTTTGAATTGGAGTCATGAGCCTCTTCTCTAACTGCTGTTGTGTCACTTGAAATTCTTGAAAATTCATAAGATTTTGATTGTGAAGAAGCTACTAATCTTTCCTGTACTCTTATTTTATGATCTCTTTTTTGTTTGTTTTTATTTGAGATCAAATTGTTCTTTTGTCGCTTGACAGGAAAGTCAAGCAATTAAAGGAAGCAGAGGAAACGCCAACTTTGTGTCGAAATGTAAATTGTGTGGTCGTGAAAATTCTATGGGTAAGAGAAAGGAATAACCCTAAACCTTTGACACCCATGATTCTCTGTTAGCTCTGAGACACTTCCTTGTATTGTAAGAGAGACTTAAGTGGTACATCATGAAAACGATATAAAGCTGATAAGTACAGTTTGTTTATGTTCACCACCTGTTTATTGGATAATGTAATAACTGGGTTGCTGAGTGGTTAGAGGGTTTTACTTGTAATTTGGTGTTTTTGGGTTTAAGCCTCCAATTTGAGAACTCACTGGATTTGCTCTTAGTTGGTCTGATTAGAACTCCTTAGCTGTTCTGTGTAAAAAACCATAGGACTTCTTACTTAGATAAATTTTTCATTCTTGGTCAGTACTGGCTACAAAAAGCCCTGGTGGAGGAGAAATCACTCATAATTAGTTGTTACTGTTGTTGTTATTATTATAATTCTTAGCATTTATTTGTTACTATAAATTATTATTTTTATTGATATAATTGATATTGTTTGGGAGATAAGGGACTAATGAAGAACTGAGAGAGTCTGACAAAGGACATTGTACTAAATGAAAAGAAAAGTGATTTTTGTTGTGTTTCTGTGATCATTTACTCTTTAACCAATCAAGGTGTCCTCTGCAGTAAAGGTAAATATTCAGGAGAAAATAAAAATCCTCTAAAACTCTATGGAAATCAGACCCAGCAATGGTCAATAGTTTTTGGAATGAGGAGACCTGAGTGAAAAGGAAACCATTTCTATGAAAAAAAATTGGATATACCAAATATTTGTAAAATTGTCTTTTGAGTTGGCATGTTTTATCTGTTTTCCGTTGCCATAAATCAGGCTTCAAAAACATCTTTTGTATTTTGCAGATATAATAAGGGATAGCATCTCTGAATACACGGTAAATACCACATCTAAATTTTGTACCCCACAGAAACTGTCCCTGTTGCAAGGGGCACATAGAGGCTTTCAGATCCTTCTTTAATCATTAGAAAAAGGTGTGACTCTGCATTATCTTATTGTCATGCACTAAAAAACTGAAGTTGAACTAAGAATATAATTTAATAAGACATAATTAAAATTTTGTGTGGAAATTTTGAAGACTCCTCTGTCATACAAATTATGCTGTAAAAAATTTCTTCTTTTTGTTGTTGATTTGATTTGATAGATAGAAGATAGTAACACATTCAAGACAATGGTAGCATTTGACTGCAGAGGATTGGAACCATTTGACTTCTCTCCAAGGGTGTGTTCTGCACCTGAGAAATAGTGTTCTTTCTTGAACTATGCCTCAAGTTAACCATTTAGAAGCTTTCTCTGGCTATTCTTCAGCCATGGGGTCACTGATCAGCTGTGAAAGCAGTGGTGTAGAGTTTTTATGACAGTTATTATTCTTTGTTTCTTAATATAACATTTGTGCCAGGGATGGAAGTTTTGAGAAGTTTAAATATCCGTGGATCCACTGTCAGGTTCTTCTTCATAGTGCAAAATGCAACTACAAAATGAAGAGTCAAACAAGTCAAGTCAGTGCATGAAGCCCTAGGGTCCTGACAAGAGGGGGGACTTTTCCAGTCAAAATGAAGTGGAAAGAATTTGTGTGCACTGAATTTCCATTTGTTTCATATAGAGCTGTCTGATTATTGTATCAGTCAGGTGCTCTATTGATTCACTTCTTTGTAATGATATATCTTGTCTTAGCAGGTATATTAAAATTTGTAGTTTAGTGGTCTGATAGGCATGCTACAGCCATTAACCCTGATGAAGGCCAGTGAATTTAGCGGAAAACAGGTGAAAGATATCTTACATCTTGTTTGACTCTTTATTTTGTGATGTAGAAGTGTATTTACAGACATATTTGTTGTTCTTTTGTGTGTGCTACAATCAGTCATGCTCCATTGATGAAGATCACTGTCATGTAAATCGAGTTAGTGGCCAACCTTTTTTTCACAGTCTTGAGGGTGTTAGGGGCTTTGTTGTCTGGTGTTCTGTACAGGGTTGGGATTGGGGCAGCATCATTATCACCTCCTAGAAGAGCTACTTGACAAATGTAAACACCCCTGTTATCCTTTATTCAGGTTGGATTTGTAGCTGATGCTGTTGATTCTGCATCAAAGTTCTCAGACATCAATTTAACAGAGAAGGTATCTCCCAGCTGAATTTGTCCATAGTTAAAAAGTATTAACCACTCTACTAATGGGGCTTTTAGGGCCAATGTGAGCAAACAGGTGTGTGATCAAGAAGCTTGCACTCATCTCCTGTCCACTAATGCAAGCCAGCAAAATTGTATATCATGCTAATTAAGATTATCTCAAATTACATATCCTAGAAATCCCTTTAAGTGGTGTTAAGAGTATAGTGTAATGGGAACACCTACAGGTGCATAGGTGCTTATCAGAAAGCCAGTACTTGATTTTTTCTAGAAAGGGAATTAAGTCGCATGAGATTCAATCCCCAACCTCCCAAGTAGAGATTCTATTTATCTCTGTGGGTTACTTTCCTGAGTAACCGGTTTTCAGGCCTTGTGTGACTGCAACTCCAGAGACAAAATTAGATAAGATAGATAACTTTATTTATACACAGTAAGATCATACAGCATCAATCTGAACTCTGTACTCTGAAGGTGTGAACAAACTTGTTGCTGAAAACATTAAGACCAATACTGAATTTATATCTTGTTTTGAAGCAGGCTACTCAATAATGATATTTACAGAAGTATTTTCTTTCACACAAGGACTGGTCTGATTATGATGAGGAAGCTGGTGTATCAGTTGGAATTTATGAGGTTACCCATCAGTTCCTGAGGCTATAAGGACAAGTGCATATCTTATTCTTACACATAAATCAGTTGTCAGAATGTCTCTACAAGTTATCTCTTACAAATAGAGGTTAAGAGGAGTTTGTCAGTTCCACAAACAAGTCATACTCATCATAATAAAAAACATTAATGGTGCATTAATGTTGTTGAAACAAAAAGTGCAGTATGGAATTTTCGAAACATACTTTGTAGGCATGGAAGAAACTCTTAGCACAACAACAAGAAAAACCCCTGTTGTTGCTTTCCTGACATTTTAATCATATTATATCAAGATGCAGGCTGTACAATGAACAATAAATGCCCATGCAGTACTCTTCTAGACTTAAATGTAGTGAAACTTGCTTTATGTACTGTCTTGAAATGTAATTGAGTCCTTGAAAGCATTGCCATAGACACTTACCCTCAAGAAACTGGTGAAACATTTGTGAACCTAGACTATTAACTCAAGTAACCAATATCAAGTTTGAAATTTCCCTTTCTCTTTTTGTGGTAGGCAGTTGATTTTATTCCATAATGTTCTCAATGTAACCTTGATTTTCTTAAAATATCTATCACTGTATTAAATGAAATCTATCTCACTCAGGTCCAAACGAGTTTTTGGTATAACAAAACCTGCATACTTGGTAGTCTATTGAAAACTAAAGCTGAACTCAGACATAGAGGTGGATTTGAGCAAGGCTGACAGATTCAAATTTCCACCAGGTTTCTTCTGTCAGACTTAAAAAATTGTACAACCCTCTAGTATGCTTTTCTGGAGTTCTCCTGAACTTCTCCCCAACCACCAAGTAGGAGTTGGATCAAGAAAAGTTGGGAAGTGATCATGAACTCTAAGTAATTCTTCTTCTCAGTAACAGTTATATTCAAAGACTAGTATGATATACACTCAATTTATTTGACTTTCCAAGTTTGACCTGTATAAGTCAAATATTCCATTCCTTTGCAGAATCTACTGGGATATGTTGAACCTGGTTCAGCTGTTGCCATACAGACTTAAAATGGGTGACTACCCTCCCCAATTTTGACCCAATCAGTTTATCTGAGCACCCCATCTGCTTAGTACTACTTTTTTCATAAGATTATATATTTAACACACATTGGAACATCACACTAAAAACCAATTTTAATTAAATATCATAGTGTCTAGTACATCACATTTTGAAAATTTAAAGCTAAGCACTACATTTTCATGAAACAATATTCCTTTTTCAGCATTAAACATAACATTGCATCAAACAGAAGTGTAACAATACAGTGAGTTGGTGACACCTTGATTAAGTTGCAACTTTTCCAAAAAATATAAAAGAAAATTTGCAGATTGTCTTAACTGTACAGGTCATCATCTCCATCATCATATAAGTTAGAATCATCTGCTCCTCCTGAGCCACCTTGTCCACCTCCTTGTCCACCCCCCTGAGATCCACCTCCTGACTGATTTGGGAATCTGTGAAAAATACAGACTTAAATTATAAGAGAGAGAAAAGTATTTTATATGATGGTAGCAGATAGAAATAGATACTTAATAAGTAATGAACAACCTCATTCTTTACTGTGTTTTTATGTTAAAAGATAATTAGAGTTACTACGTCACAAGTTTATCAAGCATGAAGTTTCAGGGTGATGTCTTTCAGTATTTGCTAAATTATCAACCATTCAAGTTCTATCTTACTTTTTCCTAACCATGCAAAAACTTACCTAAAGTTTCCACCAAATCCACGGCTCTGCTGCAAAGTTTGAGCAAACATCTCGTATTTGCGAATATCATTATCACTAACAGATCTGCGGGCAAATTTCATTGCCTCTTCAACATGGCTTCTTGTGATCTCAGGTACAGGATCTTCATCTTCCACTTCCTAAAGAGTTCCATCTAATGTTAGCAATTGCCATGTAAACAAGAAGAGCTTGTTCTGAAGTAATTTTTTAATGATTGGATGCTCCAATCACTCCATTTCTCATTACATGTCATGAGTGGAGGCATAAATGGAAATGACTCTAGATTTCTCTTTACGTCAATGTTTGATACAATACTAGAATAAATGGTTTGTCTTACCATGTATAAAATATAACATTGGTACATTGACTTGCTGGGGGCATGAAGTTACTGAAATTTATCCAAACAAACATAGCTCTCACCATGTCCAAGTCTGGGTTGTCAGCTCGCTCCCTTTCCAACCTTATCTCTGTCTCTATTGACTCCCTGACAGCTAGCTTACATGCCTAGAGAAGCAATCATTTTAAAGAGCTCAATTATAATATAAATTATGTTGTGCATGGGATATGCATTTTTCCAGGACAGTTCAAATTACTTTAGAAGAGTGACTCTAACTTTATCTTGAAGAAAAGCTAGGCATTTTACCAACAACACTAAAATCACTATTATGTGTTACAGAAGGCAATTTCTGAGAAGTCAAACCATGCTCATGGACAATATCTTTTAATTTGTTCACTGAAAACCCCCCATTATCCCTGTACTTTCTATTTTTTACTGACTCTCTAAGGAAATCAGTACTGCATCAATTTTAGGTTACAATGCACCAATTGTATTGCTCATCAAAAAGATTTATCCTGAAAAACAATGTGTATGGTAATGTGAAAATTCATAACTTCAACTGAAAACCTTTGTCTCACCCTTTGACAGATCTCTGTTAAATCTGCACCACTAAAGCCATGAGTAACCTTTGCAATATAATTCAAGTCTACATCCTGTTAAAGATAACGATGGACCTTGTTAGTAAGGTTTTAACAGGGGGATACTAAATTTTCTATGGTTTTTATCTAGGAAGAGAGGGAGATGGCTTTCTTCAGTTAAGCATCATTGATGTAATTTTTATTCACCAAAAAAAAGCAGAATCTGATGTTTCTGCTCATTAAAAGTACCCTAGCATACGTTAAGGGAACTATGGAGCTGAGCTATAGCATTGTGCTTGAGAATGAATGGCATAGAAGCCTGTGATTGTCTTTGAATAAAAAGAGCACCAATTTATCCTGTCATGATATTTTAATATTCAGAATTACTAGTTTAGTCTATAGTAGGTCAGATAACAATTGACATGGGAAACTGCAAAAGAAGAATGTACAAAGATAAAGGCAGACACTAGAACTAAATATCTAGAGTTTCCACGAAGTACATGGGAGGGTAAAAATTTAAACGCAAAAAAAACAGACCTTTGCAATTGGAGATTTCCTCAAACATGCTGAGAGTATGGAGACACGTGACTGAAATTAATTGAGAGTGGAAAGGTGAGCTTCAATTATTTTGCCAGATAATTTTTACCTGTGTTGTACTTGGATAGATTAGCATCCTGGGAACCCTCTGAAAAGGGTTTGCACCCAACTAATACATTAGGACTAAAGTAATAATATAAGCTGATAAATATGATTTGTTTTCTGTCTTGTATCACTTGACACTATTCTTGGTTCAATAATTGTAACATCACAGCTGTACGTGGCACCGATAAACAAGGAAATAACTTGTCTCATAATATGTGTTTAAAAAGAAAAAGAATTTCTCATCAACTAACTGCTTCATCAGGAAGAGGAATGTAAATCAGCTGATCCAAACGACCTGGCCGCAGTATGGCTGGATCAATGATGTCTGGCCTGTAGAATACAAGAAAATGGACCAAAAACAATTCAATCTGTCATTGATCATAAGATTGAAGATCCCCCAAATTCTATATCAAGTTAGACTACCATCTTTCCCACAAGCATCCCAAGTTTTAATTCTCACTCTACATTTGTGGCTGAAGTATATCATACTATTGATTAGAGTTCTCCTCTGTCATAGACCATGAAGACAAATTTGAATTTCATGTGATAATTAAAGAAACAGAAACTAGCCTCTAAATTCATATAATAATTGCTAGTTGATAAATGGTGTTAATATCTAAGAACAGAGAACAAAACAAGACAAGCACCTGTTGGTTGCTCCAATAATGAAGACATTCTTCTTGACATTCATGCCATCCATTTCAGTTAGTACCTGGTTGATCACACGATCTGCTGCTCCTCCTAAGCACAAAATTAGAAGCCAGTCACCAAAGGACATCGTAATTTATTTATAACTTATATCACTTTTCTTTGATATGTTGAATGAGAAAGGGTAAGGAAGCATTAAAGTATTGAATATCCCCTTATCATCATTCAACTTTCATACACTGTATGAATTCTGATTTTCTGATTGGTTGATTTGTACCACGTGATACAGGGTTGTGACAAAACAACCTCTTTGACATCATTATCACAGTGTAATAGACATGGTGTAAATTTAACACACCACTGTCATTACACCATGGTTTTGGCTGACTCAAAGTTTGACAATTTGTCAGATGTAGACCCTGATTCTCTTACCATGTTCATGTAATTTTGAATATATTTTATAAAACATATGATTAATTTTGTATCAACTTTGAAACATATTAAATTAAAATTAATATTTTGTCTGGTTTACTTACTATATAGTGGTTTCAATGCAGTGTTTCTTTGTGCAGTGTATTCAATTTGAATAATAAAGATGTTAACATACTCATTGCTTGTGAATTAACAGGATTTACCTGTACTTGTTCACAAACAATGAACTTGAAATTTTCAATACTGCACTCTGCAAAGCCTCATGCTGTATTGAAATGTCTCATTCATTAGTAGTGAACTTGTGAAGGTAAATCCTGATGATTCACTCCCTGAGTGCATTAACCTGTAAGTATTTATAGATACAACAGACAAATCACTTAGAAAAACCTAATGATGTTCTGGGGCCAGATGTTCCAACAAATAAATCCTTATACAATGGAAACACGTTAACAAACTGAACTGCACTATCTACTCGAATAATGACTATCCAGAGGACAGCACAATTCCCCTTTTAAACAAATGGGGACAGGTGTGGACCTGGAGAAAACCAAACTAACCTCCATCTCCAACATTGCCTCCCCTTGCTTTAGCAATGGAATCTAATTCATCAAAGAAAAGCACACAAGGAGCAGCACTTCGGGCCTGAATAAATTAAAAAAATAAGAACAAGAAATTAAATCTTAAACCTCTAAACCTCAGCAAGACTGTCAACATATCACTTCTCCTTGCAATAATTTTTCCAGCAAACAAGTATAAAGCACAGACAGACACATCAGTTGGAGGAGACAAATGTAAAATAATAGGAGAATATATTCTGTAATGGCTCTACATCTGCATAATACTATAACTATAGCTAAAGACATTAAAATTTGGTACAGTGGAACCTCGATTATCCAGACCTTGATTATCCGGACTATTCGATTATTCGGACTCTTTTCTCTGGTCCCAATTTCTTCATGAATATTAATTAGTTGTGATCTTGAAAACTCAAAGTCGCAAAAAGCCCAATAATTCTTTCAAAAGACTATGGAAACAGCATATTATCCTATGCGCTTTTCAAAATTTGTAAGTGCGATGAGACAAAGAAATATTCCGATGTGTTCAGCTGATATCTGATTGGCTCAATTGTTTTGTTGCCAAGGAATTTCATGCTTGATTAGTTCCTTCCGCATGGGTAACACACGAGCAATCGATCGTAAACTCAAATAAAAAATATGCCTACGAAGCAAAA